TACCCCTCCTTTTCTCCCTGTAATACTTGTAGACAGTAAAAATGAAAGCTAGGAGAGCTAGAGTCCACATTTATTGAGTTCTTACAGGGTGCCAGGCCTTGTTCTCAGCATTCCACATGTTCGAAACACTTTTGCATTATAATCATACTAGATCCTTACAAAACCTTGAGAAGGAGACAGAATTTGCGAGTGGGTTATTTTCTCCCAGAAAACAGGAGCTGGAAGAGATGAAAGGGGTCACTAGCCTCTGGTCCCTGGATTAGTATGGCAGAACCTTGCATGACCCCTGGTCTTTCAACCCCTAGCCTGGTGTTCTTTCCACTACACCGGTTAGACTCCCCAAAATATAAGGCTTTCTGGATGCCAAGGGTTATTATGCATATAATCCCTTGATCCTGGAAAATGGAGCATATAATTGTGCTTTCTTTACTGATTCACTTCACTGATCAAGAGCATCTCCCCATTACTTTTAAATATAAATGAGCCTCTCATTTGGGCCTTCTCGAGGAAATCCCAAACTCCATTCTAAAGAGTCTTCCCTAAAAGATGGCCCTGATAAGGAAGATGTTTTATTTTGTATTTGCTGTGTTCTTCATTTTGGCTCAACAGCCATCTGGTAAATAAAAATGGATGGGATTTTGATGGGGCAGATTATAAACCCTGATGATTCTTCTATGTTTGACCTTGAAAAGGAGTGTAATGGTCAACACCCCATGGTGCCTGTCATGGGAATTTCTTAGATAGACAGTGACATTTTCTAAGAGCAAACTGCATATAGTGTATTTTTTTTTGTTTGTAATTTGTTTTTGCTGGTTACCTGGAATGCTGGCCTTGAGAAATAGAATAAAGATTGCAACTCTGCAATCTACTGTCTCCTGATATGCCATGTCACACGTGGAGTTGGGAATAATGTTTTATACAGTGTTAATTCCTGTGTTGATTTTCATTTTCAGAATGTATTTTGTTTTGAATTTAGGGAGCCAGGCAGGACTTGAATTTTCCCAGCCATTTTCATCAGGTGAGTAAAATCTCTTGTATATAGTTATTTTTTCCCTTAGGAATTCTGACTCTGTTGGTTCTCTTGGATGTCTAGAGACAAAAAGGGGACAGAGATAGTGGCGGAAATAGAATTGTCTGAAATACTTGTTCACTAACTTATCTTCTTCCCTTTCTCTTGTTCCAAGTATAATATTTGGATATTTTTGATTTCACAGAAAAATATCTTTGTGTCTGGACTGTAATTTGGCCATAGAAAATTGGACTCATTGGCTTTTCCCATTAGCTGTTGGTGCTCAGTAAACTGAAGTCATAGATTTAGTCTTGTACCAGCCAATTAGCTCTGCTCTGAGAACATGCCTGCCCATCTCTTGCAAGCTCTGCTGCTAAGTCTGGTAATAACATATATCACACATGAATGACGTTGGTTGAAGGAAGCTCAAATTAAAGCCTGAGGTTACTTCAGTGAAAACTCAGCACCATCGCAGAAAAGCTATTCATAATGAAGAGCCCACACATGTCTTCTCTTTTTTTGAAGTCATCTTATACAGAAAGAAAGCACATTATAAACAAAAATGAAAGAAATATTGTAAACAAAGTTGAAAAGGGTTTAGAAAGAATTTCAAAGTGAGAAAAATTAGGTTGCTACTAGTCCTTGAGTGTTTCCTGTGTACCAGGCATCCTATTAAAAACCTTACATGGACTTTGTCATGTAATCTTCAAAACACTCCTATGTGGTAGTTACTATTATAACCAAAATATTTGCATATAATATTCCATTTGATCCCTAAGCTGATTTAAAAATATAGTCAGATGCTTCTAGAATGGCCACTGGACAAGTGAGAATGCTGTTCTTAAGAGCTTACTGAGGATACCTGGCGATTACTTGGCCCAAAGACTTGAACCTAAGCTTCTTAACTCCATCTTCAAGGATCTTTCCAAAACCACAATATACCCCTCCCATTTTTGTCTAGCAAATTTCACAGTAGTATCAGGTATGTATTTTTGTAGTTCTATAGCATGTATGTCTCTTTGTCTGCCTGTGGTTTACTTTTGATTCCTGCAAGATTATAAACACTTGGAAAGTAGGAATTGTGATAATCTGTTGCTTAAAAATTAACTCTCCCCAACTCCGTACTGCAAAAAGCAGGAGCGCTTATTGAAAAATCTCGGCTGGTTCTTGAAAATATTCTTTGTAATCATACATACAAACTATCCCCTTTATTTGGTGGATTTTGACATGTTCCCCATTTCTAGACAGTTCCTGAAAGACCTCAGCAGCTCTTTCTTGGCACAGGTGAGTTTGCTGTCTGTGAGTCGTGCAAGCTCGGTCGTGGAAAATGCAGGAAAGAGTGCTTGGAGTCTGAGAAGGCCGTTGGAAGTTGCAGGCTGAACCTCCTCTGCTGCCGATCAACGATCTGACAAACCAGTCCAGCACGCTTCTGGCCTTAGAAGTGTATTCAAGGAAGAAGTTCAAGAGAAATTATGTGGCTTATCCAAGTCACACGGTGAGTGAGTCTCAGAATCATTCTCATTTCCTTCTCTCTTTGTTTTGTTTTATTG